TATATACAGCAAAATGACAAACTTGATTTGATGGATTTTGTTCGACTCTACATTTGATATTGCTGCTGTTTCACAGATGTTTTTAACTCACTTTTGTTTCTGGAAGTGAACGTTAATTATCTTATATGTTTAAATTTGTGTTACTTTTGTTACGTACTAAAGAAGACTATGTGGTCTCATGTGGTATGGACTTCTTTTGAATAGTTTTCACGTTCTCACAGTACTTACTTACACTCATTTTTCAGTGTTAACAAAAACTGAATATCGACATCGGTAATATCGGTTATTGGCGATATCAGAAATCTTGATATTGTATCAGCCAGAAATTTTAGTATTGTGCATCACTAATTCAGAGAATTTTCAAATCTTTTGGTCTGTTTTTCGTGTCGTTCTTCATGTGCATTCATGTTGTCACATCAGAAAATTGTGCAGAACAACAGCATGTATCTGCTCCTCAATGTTTTCTAGAGTGTACATCTGTCAAGAGTCAATTAAACCTCTTGACAGATGAAACTCTAGTTGACCAAAAAATCACCAAAACATGCTCAAATTAAATAGGATGGAATTAGTAATTCAGTTGTCAAAGTAGTTGACGATTACCAGTTGACAACTGATCGATTAATTGGCTAATTGCTACAGTTCTAGTGTTCACAGTTTGTTGCTGATAGCTGCTTATTTTTCCAGCCGTTTATGTGGCTGAAGGCAACAAGGTGACTTTTCTTCTCTGTCTAACAGGATCTGTAGGAGACCAGCCTCTGTTGGACCTAAACCAGAGCTTGGACATGGACCTGAACCAGAGCTTGGACATGGACCTGAACCAGAGCTTGGACATGAACCTGAACCAGAGCTTGGACATGAACCTGGACCCAGTTGTGTGTCCTTTACGAGCGACCAGTCAGTGGGTCGCATCATTAATTTTACAGGACAACAACCCTCTGGTGCAAAGAGGTAATCTGTTAGGTTATAATAAGTAATAAACGGTAACATTAGAATGTTAGTGATCCATGTTCAGACAGTTAATATTCAGAGAACTTTTCAGATCTTTTGGTCCGTTCTTAGCATCGTTCTTCATGTACATTCATGTTGTCACATCAGAAAATTGTGCAGAACAACAGCATGTATCTCCTCCTCAATGTTTACTAAAGTGTACATCTGTCAAGAGTCAATTAAACCTTTTGACAGATGAAAATCTACTTGACCAAAAACTTACCAAGAAATGCTCCAATGTAATAGGATGGAATTAGAAATATTTTACTGCATTTTTTCTTTAAAAATTACTCATACCAATAACTCAGTTATCAAAATAGTTGACAATTGAAAGTTGACAACTGATCAATTAATTGGCTAATTGCTACAGTTCTAGTGTTCACAGTTTGTTGCTGATAGCTGTTAATTTTTCCAGCAGTTTATGTGGCTGAAGACAACAAGGTGACTTTTCTTCTCTATCTAACAGGAATTATGGGATACCAGCCTGTAATGAGCCTGGACCAGAGCTTGGATATGGACCTGGACCAGAATATAGACATGGACCTGGACCAGAACTTGGACATGGACCTGAACCAGAACTTGGACATGGACCTGAACCAGAGCTTGGACATGAACCTGGACCCAGCTGTGTGTCCTTTAAGAGCGACGGGTCAATGGGTCGCTACCATGATTTCACTGGACAACACCCCTCCGTTCAGAAGAGGTACTCTGTTGTGAACAATAGATAAATAGATAGATAGATAGATAGATAGATAGATAGATAGATCCCTAGGGAATATTCAGCTGTCTCAGGCTCAGCTCACAGGTACAGATAGCATATAACAGATAAAAGACTACAAAGGCAACAGCAATGAAAGCGACATCAACAACAACGACAACAGTAACCAAGCATTAAAAGTGAGCAGGTGATAATAATGATAAAATATTAAAATATGGTAAAATAAGATTCCAGTGATTCCACATAGTTGGTTTCATTTTGCATTGGTTTACTGCAACATAAAGGAGCTGTTCTGGAGTGGGGTTCAGAAATGTACAAGACACAGTTGTCCTGGACAGTTGAACAACATGGTGCTGAAATTGGTTTTCAATGTGTTTTGGTGCAATACAGATTATATACTGTGTTTTTATCAGGAGGAGGCTGGGAAGGGGCATCAGTAGCTACATACAGAGTGACTGGCAGGGGAAGGATCATGCATCTTTCAAAGATGGAGATCACCATGTCTCACAGCGGCAGATTATTTATAAATCAGTTTGTATTATCAGATATAACACAACATAGCAGATCTCCATTTTTTCCATGCTCAGCAAGAATATGGCCTATACCGACTTCTCAGTAGTCTTAATTTTGGAAATGCTTGGCCGTACATAGCCTTTTTCTCCATAGTGGCACTCAATGTGCCTAACAGTGTTTCGTATTCACACATTAACGGCTACAGAGCTGCCATGTGAGGTGCTTTCCTGCCATCGAGAGCAACTTTGTGTTCTTACCCGAGGACACTTTCGTGTGCAGAGGGGTTGGCATCAAACCGCCAACCTTGCAATTAGTGGACATCCCACTCTTCCACAGCCCCCCATTTTGTCCCTTCCCCTGTACCATGTCAGCTTGTAATATACGATTCAACCCTAAGGTCCTTGAGCTTGTGTTTGTCTCCATGTGGACAGACACACTGGGAGCTAACTGTTCACGACTGATCCACAGAGTCGACCAGCAGAGCTCAAAGGTTCCCAGTGTTCAGTCTGCTCAGAATCATCGCCTGGACTCCGTATTAATGGTGTGTACATGTACAGCAACTACCTTTCTGCTGGTTCTGTTCATATTGTCGGCACTTTGTAGACTGTCAGTGTATCTGATGTTGATCTCCGTGATTTCACTCTGATCAGCTAATTAATAGATTTCTTTGTTCCAGGTGCTGGAGGAACATATCATGGCTTATGTGAAGAAGGAGCTGAAGAACATCCAAAAGGTTCTGAGTCCAGATTACCCAGAATCCTCAGAGAGTCCGAGGGAGGATGAGGAGGCGTCGGAGGGTGAGGATAAAGAGCAGAGGAGCAACAGAGAGGCGTTTCAGCAGATCACAGCGTTCTTCCTGAGGATGATGAAGGAGGACAAGCTGGCTGACCGTCTGCAAGGCAGTAAGAGGATTTCTCAGACGATTGAGTGTTCAGGATAAACAGCACATTTATTGCTGTCTCAAGAGATGCACTAAGTATAGTCAGATACTCATTCTTTAGGGCAGCGGTCCCCAACCACCGGGCCGCGGACCGGTACCGGGCCGTGGGTCATTTGGTACCGGGCCGCACAGATAGAATAAAAACATTTTATTGGTTTATTTTTATTCCCAGCGGAGTCTGCAGGGTGTTTTATTTTGAAAAATGACTAACTCGTCTTCCCATCACTTCCGTTTGTGCTCGTTTCCCGCACTTGACTGTCAGTTTTTATGCCCGGCTGCTAACCGAAGCCGTCAGTCAACAACAAACGTCTCAGGAGAGCTGCTTTGGAAAGTGGGAGAGACTCGATACTGAGACAGAAGAAAAAGTAAACATGTTAAGCAATAAAAATTAATTTTATTTACTTATGAAACTTTTCAATAGAAAAAAAAACAATTATTATTTGTTATGTGTGTAATGACCGGTCCGTAGAAAAATTTCTTGCTTAAAACCGGTCCGTGGTGCAAAAAAGGTTGAAGACCGCTGCTTTAGGGGATTGAAATGTGCAATTTATTCATTGATCTAATTATTGGTTCATTCAGAACATCTTGCTGCAGTTTGTCAACGTGAACTTAAATCTACTCTGAAGACGAAGTTCCAGAGTGTGTTTGAAGGCATCGCTAAAGCAGGAAACCCAACCCTCCTCAGTGAGATCTACACAGAGCTGTACATCACAGAGGGAGGGACTGCAGAGGTCAATGAGGAACATGAGGTCAGACAGATTGAAGCAGCATCCAGGAAACCAAACAGAGCAGAAACAATCAAACCAGAAGACATCTTTAAAGGTGCAGCAGGAAAAGATCGACCAATCAGAAGCGTGATGACAAAGGGAGTGGCTGGCATCGGGAAAACAGTGTTAACACAGAAGTTCACTCTGGACTGGGCTGAAG